GCGGCATCTTATGCACAAATTCCTCACCACGAGTCAGACTCGTGGCTTTTGTTTATGGCACAAATTCTTTACCACGAGTCAGACTCGTGGTTTTCGCTTATGGCACAAATTCTTTACCACGAGTCAGACTCGTGGTTATAGGTCAAAGGGTTAATGTAACAATATAGTGTTGTCAGTTACCTGAAGTCGGGTTTTCTGTTATTCTTCCTGCGTCCCCTTCCATTGTCCTATGTCCCTTTTTTGGTTTACGGAAGAGAGTAGGGGGAAGGACGAAAAAGAAAAAGGAAAAATAAGAGAAAAATATACATATCTATATAAAATATTGGAGGGATTAAATGCGGAGGAAGGAAATAAATAAAATAAGTAATGAACAGAGAAGGAGGGAAAAGAGAGAGAAGGAAAGGGGGGGGGGGAGAAAAGGAAAAGAAAGAGAGGAAATAAGAGAGGGAGAGAGAGGGGGAGAAAGAATTGAATCGAATAAGGAATTAACTCAGGGGGCGGGAAAAGAGGGTAAGGATAAGCGGTGCAAAGGAAAAGAAAAAAAACACGAAAAAGGCAACCTACGTATGCAAGAGGGAATGTAGGGAAGAGCCGGAGGAGAGAAAGAGAGACACATATATTTTTTGTGTTAGGGGTTCTCAACGTGCGTTGAGATTTAGTTCATTGATTTCCGAAAGCGTTTCCAGTGTTGTTTCGTGAAAGGCTGTCGTACACGTACGATAGCCTTCCACGCCGCCTTCCAGCCTTTCCCGACGGCAAAGGGCGCATCGTTCTTGAGGGTGGTTTCGGGTTCGCAGCCGATGCCGGTGAGTGAGGGCAAATTCGGGCCAGTACGGAGTCAGGGTTTGGTTGAAGTAGCACCGGTTGCAAAGGTGTACCTATTTACCTTGGTGATACCAGAGGGTGCTTAACCTGGGAGTGGCACATCTCAGCTGCAGTAATACTCTGTAGGCTAGGGTGTCCTCCCAGGAGATGTCCTTCATGTTTTTTACCTTTTTTCTCTGTTGATGTTTTCAGCTTCCTTCTGCCGTCCGGGATTCCTTAGGACTGCTGAAAGGGTTTTTATGTTTTTCAGGGTTTTTCCTACGCGGGCCAGTTGGATGGTTTTGTGACTGGTTGATAACTGTTTCATGCGTTCCAGGGAATCGGGTTTCATATGCTTCCTGCGTGGTGTCTCGTTTAGTTTGTCGTGAAGCGGTTGTCATTCGATAGGTTCTAAGGTCGTCCAATTTGCTGAGAGAGGAGTATTCGATGATTCGCGCCGGAGGGCCGGTTTTCATTTATTTAAATGTTTTACGATCGTTTTTCCTTGGTTTATTTTGTAGGAGGGCGTTATTTAATTCCAGGAGTTCGACAATTTCATGAGGGTCAAATTTATGGTTTCGAGGCTCATTCAGGACATAAACCAGGTCTCCGACTTGAAAATCGATCGGCTTTGTTCTCCGATCGTATACTGTTATTGAGGTTTCCTTTGAAGTATTGAGGTTCGCTCGGGCTATCCTGCGAATGGTTTCGAGGTGTTGGGTTAGTTCTGCTAAATAGTTATTATAGGTTTTCATTTCCTGTTCGGATGGGTAGGATGCGGGTATTCTGGCTATTTTTCCGACAATTAGTTCATGGGGGGTGAAATTGGTTGCCTCATGAATGGATGTGTTGTAGGAAAACATGGCGAATGGTAGCATTAGATCCCAGTGGGCGCAACTTCCCATGTAATGTTTTAAATACTCGGTGAAAACATGATGGCTTCTCTCTAGGGCGCCGTTGGTTTGTGGGCGGTACCCGGAAGTGGTGACTCTTTTGATTTTCAAGATTTTCGCCAATTTTTGGAATAGTTTTCCCGTGAACGAGTTTCTAAGATCCGTTAGGGATAGCTCGAGGGGTGCCAAATTAAGTGATAAAGTGGCGTGCGAACCCATCGGCTACTGTTGTAGCCCTTAGATTAGATATCGCTACGGGCAGGCAGTATTTCGTAAAATTATACTGCATTGTGAGAATGTGTCGATTCCCGGATGGGGTTGGTGGCAAAGGGCCTACGGTATCCATAGATATTTTCTCGAAGCATTCCGTGGGTGTGTCTGTTATAATCATAGGTTCTCGGGTTTTTATTCGGACTAATTTTTGCTTTTGGCAACTGGGACAGGATTTAACATATTCTTCAATTTCGCGGTTTATTTTCGGCCAATGGAATCGAGCCCGAACTCGGTGGAAGGTTTTCGTGGTGTCCTTATGTCCATCTGAGAGACTATCGTGACATTCTTGTATAATTTGATTCCTGATTTCCGGAGGGGGCGTTTCGATGCTTCTGGTACACAGGGTGATTTTGATCGGAGTAGTTCTAAAAACGGCTAGAATAGCGTTCTTAAGGGTTTCTGTGGGGAATTGAACGAATCCATTGTCTTTTAGTGGAATAGAGGTGACGTCAACTTGGTTCATTGCTCGTTTAAGTGAAATTAGGGAGATTTGCCAGTCTGTGAAGGTAGGGTGATCATAATAATTGTGCGTATGAATTAGGCTAAAAATTATGTAAGGGTCCCTTTTGCTAATGACTACCATGCCGTGTTGTAGTCCTGCCTCGAGGAGTCCTTCCTCGTTAATATATTCCATTCCCTTAAGGATTTTGTTAACGGGGTTAGTGCAGCTCGCGTCGCCTGGAAGGAAATGCGCGTAGTTGTTAGATATTGCTAAGAGCGTGAGGTTGCTAAGAGTAATTCTACACGAGGGTGAGTTTGGAAAATCACTGGAGGAGTCAATAAGTTCCGAAGGGGGTGGGAGGCTCGCCGTGATTTTTCGTGGAGGTGACTCTGTATCTTCCGTTTGTGTAGATGTTTTGCTGGGTTGGCTGGGTGTAGACTGACCTTTGGATGGTTGGTCCCGTATGGGAGTCGGCGCGAAGGAGACCCTTGGTTTCACTGGATTTTTGTTGATCTGGGGAATATTTTCTTCTACAATGGTCCGTCTGTTCGATGCGCTGGGGGTTGAAAATTTCGAGCAGGAAGTTTTTAAATATTCGGAATATTCTTTTAATTTTCCTTTTGCTTCATATAATGTTAATTCCCTAATGGTCTTTGGAGTTTCTACTTCCTCCTCTTTCTCCCGTGTAGTGATGGCCATTCCGGATTCATCATTTTCTCGAGCGGGTAGCTCGGGGTCTAACGGATTCATATGTGAGGCGTCGCCGTCTCCATCGGAAGTCTCGTTATTGGAACTCTTTTCGATGATCAGCCCGCCCTGATTTATAGAGAATGGTTTTTGGAGGCTCAGCTCGGTACGCTGTTTCGTCGGAGATTTGCCTATCTCCTCGGAGGTAACATCGGGGTCGGGGTGTGCTTTGGAAAGGGTTGTATCCGAGGAGTCGTCCAGGGTTTTTTCCGTGGACAAAGAGGGAAGCATACTTTTATTCAGTTGTGATTGGTCCTCGTCGTCCTCGTCTTGTCTCAATTACGCTGGTCTTGCATTCTTTGTAGGTCACGGAGGGTAGTTGTCTTTGCGGCCGGGATGAGGATGAGGCAGGACGTTGGTTGGCGTGATGAGGGGGTTTGTATTCGGGGTCCAGTTTGTAGGGTTGAACGGGAAATGAATTTTCCGAAAGAGTTCCTATGTTTCCGAAATCTATGATTACGGTAATTTTGTAACTTTAACCTTTCGTCGTCCCTGCTTTATTAACGCATGCAAATTTATAGATCACGTGGAAACTGAAAAATGATAAAACTTCAGAGTTCCGCGGTTTAAGGTAAAACAAATTGAAGGCATTGACATTAAAGCAAAATGATATAAAGAGAAATTTTGCGAAAAACGTAAACTAAAATGAGCACAGTAAATAGAGGAAACACGATTAGAAAAAAAGTTTTAAATTTCCGAAGGAATTGACATTCTTGCAACATGATATTATACGGAAACAAGTTGTAGCATGTTTCGCGTCGGTCGAACAGTCCCGTTACAGCCTACAGTAACTTTAAATGGCCAATATTTCGTTATATGAATTTTCTGACATACGTGACACATGGAGGGAAAAGAGAAGGAGAAGACCAAAAATAAGTTTCCCTTCGTCGGGGCCGGCTAGGCTCGGCTGCCGGCTCGGGGCTCGAGGATCCTAGACGTGGCGTTCTCTCTTACTCTTACGGGTCGCATAGGCACCGGGCTTCCTCTACCACTCTTAAAGCTCCTGTCTCGGGCTTTGCACTATCTGCTGTGAGGGTCTCGGTATCGGTTCCCGATAATCGGATTAGCATCGATGTCTACACACCGGCGAGGAAGACTCTCTCTCTCTACCCCGGGCTGCGGTCTCGTACCATCTGGAGCGACGTTCTCCGTTGCTCTCTCGCGGATCTTATGCCTCCCGACGACGTTCTCGCTTGTCGTCGTTCACCCCCGGGCCTTATCGCCCCTTCCTTCGGCGGCTCGCAAGACGGATTGTCATTTTGCAGCGACCGCGATCAAGTAATTAACAGAGGGAATGGGGGATCAATTCCTCCACGAAAAATGTCGTCTCTGTTCTCTATTAACTGTGCCATCTAGTCGTAATGTTAACCCTCCGTTGTCCATGCCTTTTTCGGACACGTAATTTTATGACTTGTATTTGTATTTAAAATGCAAGTAAACAATTTAATCTCATCTGTTTTTGCCAATGTGGCTATTTCGAGTTACACGTGATGTTTAACTTTTTCGAGAGTTGATTCAGTTGATAGAACAAGTATCATTCTGATCGACTCTTTTCTAATATTCTCATTTCTCTGGGANGTCTGTTTTAATCATTGCAAGTACTTTTTAAACCCCGAAAATATCCCTTCGTTTAATAAATGAATTTGAATAGCCCGCCAAATAATTCAGTTCGCGAAAAAGGTTTACTCCAACCGAAGATGGCGGTAGTGCATAAGCGTTACACCCCGATACATGGCAGTGTCACCCCCCCCCCCCCGACTCTGCCTGTGAGCAATCTACCAACTCATCTTTGCCGCCTATGCAGTTTAATCGAGTTATGAGAAAAGTCGTTAAACATCATATAAGTGGTAAAAGTTTACGATCTTATTAGGCCATGGGTTAGACGCCTGGTTTGGTCCTTTGCAAGAAATTGCTCAGACGGTTCAATTTAAAAGAAAAAAAAATTGTCTCTCGTAATGAAATAATATAATCATACAACTTAGTTTTTTTTTATAGCCTTTACAATCTACTTTCATAGTCCAAATTATAGCAAAACAAATTTCAAAATGATTGCAATAAACCAATGTGAATTCGTCATTTCACGTAATGATTCATGTTTTTATCCTGAATTAAGATCTTAAATCTGTACCTTCATTTTTCTAAGCTCCCCAGAGCTAAATCATCAAGAATACATTCAAATTCATATTTTGTGAACATGATTTTTTAAAAATATGCAGTAATTTACCACCTGATGAGAAATTGCTTGCAGTAAAGGTTTTGGGATCCACTCTAACTTTAAGGATTCCCACTTGCACTTTCCGTGAAAAGAAATGTAATGTAATGGATATTAGTCCTTTTAACTCCCTCTACAAAAAATAATGAAATTTAGACTAAGGGGATGAATTATAAATCTTTGGTCAGTGAATTAATGGATCACTCAATTAATATGTGCACAGTAGAGGAAAGGATTGGCAGAGTAGTGCTCGCATTGTGAACACAATTATTTACAAGAATACTTGAGTCCGGTTGTTGTCTTTAAATGTTAAAATTATTTAACGTCAACCCGAGCAGCCTCTGCATCCACAGTGAATGCATTCAACTATTCTGCCTTCCTCCAGCTTTCCCTTAGGTACACGGCAGATGCAATTTGTACCAAAGTTTGTATCTCGTGTCTGGATGCATCGGAGACAGCACAAGTTTTCATAACCAACTTTCTTCCACTTAGCTATGAGATTCTTATCTGCTATATTCTCATTCAGGCAGTAGTCGTATAGTTCTGAAATAGTATAATGAAAAGTCTACATTAAAAACATATTGGATTTAACAAAAAGGCAGAATGATTAAAGGGGATAGGCTCATGTTTCGAACAAAAAAAACTATTTTTTTTTAATTCTTCTATGACCTTCCTAAAATATATATACATTGAAGGGATTCTGCCAAAAAGTTAACACCTTGACTGCTATGGTGGTCACCAGTGCAATGCGGTTGTTGTTCACTAGTGACTACCATGGCAATCAACGTGTTAGGAAACCTAAAAATTATAAAGGTTGACAGTAAAGCGTGCCTGGGTTATTTGATTTAGTGACATAGCAGAGTTCTTCCCTTTTCAACATGAATCTAAAACAAAATAAGTTATGTGACAAATCTTTAAAACATCAATTGTTTCAAGAGCAGGATAGATTTCTTTGAGGTGCAAGAATGACTGATTAAACATAGGTAACATAATTTTAATATATTCATTACAGAAAATCTACTGAAAACTATAACATGTTGACCACTAGGTGGTTACCAGTGAACGGCAACTGCTAGGCACTGGTGACCACCATGACGATTAACGTGTTAAACAAATTTTTTCAAAAGTATAATTTTCCAAGTAGCTGACATATCTTTGAAAATAACAAATTGATTGAGATAAGCCAAATTTTATTTAACTTATAAATATATTTCCTATAGCCTAAACAAGTACTTCAATACAATAAAAATGAAAATTACTGTCGTGGCTTTAAATTGATATTTATTGAAAAATTGAAACATTTGTTTACTCAGTTACTATTTTTCACTACATAATTGAATCGCTAAGAAACTGTTAATATTTAATAAAACATATTTTATTATATTATTTAAAAACTTCTGTAAATTATCATTTAACAAACACTACGTTAGGTGGGTCAGGGACACTCCGCAATAATACTTCATTTTCATTCATTGTTTTTGTTTATAAATATTCATTTTCTTTAGGAAATCCATTCTGCCCCTCAGGCGATTTAAATTGCACGCTGCTCCCGCCGTTAGTACGCTGCGCGGCCAGAGAGGCCAGAGCGGACAGGAGGAAACCATCGACGGAGTTCAGTGGACGTGAGCCGCCATCTCAAGTGCGCGAGCCCCCACCAGAAATAAGGTGGGTCGCTACTGAGAGGTAACATCTGATAAGTACGTTAGCCGCCTGCACCGACTATCAGGGGGCAGCACAGGACCGATCGCGCGACCCTGCCCAGGGGGGGGGGACTCTCCTTATGAGAGGAGTGTAACGGCAGGTTAGTTCACCTGCTCCAAGCAAAGACTGCGCTAGTCTCGTGACTTGTCACTATAATAGAAAGAGAACAGCAGAGAAAAAAATATTCTAACCAATAGCAAGAGACTCAAGGAGGCACAGCGTAGATGCGCATGAAAATAGTCGGGACAAGTGAACCACAGTGAACCTCGATTAGTGGCAATATTTTTACAAGTTTCGATTACCTTGGGTATTAAATCGCGAACGCGAGTTTGTGAGTAAAAGTGTAAATCAAAAACAATTTGTAGTTTCTTACTATAATAATTGTAATAATTAAATGGATTAAATGCAATCTATAGATCGCATTTAATCCATAAAACTAATTATAACAAAAATTAAATTTGTACAGAATTTGTATAACGAAAAATATGTATACATTCATAATAATTAATATTTTTATCTTAA